GTTGTTACACAAGCCATGTTTGTACTTGAAGTGCAACAGTCTTACATCTTAATAATACATAAGCTTTCTTACAAAGATGACAAAATCTGGTAGCCTGTTCTCTGCTGTCACTGACAGCTGTGTATTTTTTGTTTTTATGGTGCCAAGTTCCCTGCTTGAATTAGGAGGTAGCTACTCTTCTTCGAAGGTTAGTTCTTGTTAATTTAATGCAGGGTTGACCCAGACTGTTGTTTTATCTTACAGTGAGAAGGAAGTAGTTTAGAGATGTTTGTTTTTCAAATGTGTCGTTACATTCATAGAAAAGAGTTTGCCAGTAATCTCTTTCTCAGTCTTTAAAAGCTAAATACAAATAGAGCATTAAACTGAGGAATCTTGTGCTTGACTGAATAAGGGGGAAGTAGTTAAGTCTTTGAGCGTGTACTTCCTGCAGCTTTGGATCCAGAACAGGTGTACAAAGTCAAAATACTACTATGTGATCTGGGTGGAGAACCTCTGCTCTGCTGAAGCAGAACCCATAGAAAAGGAGAACACTTCAACCTTTGTGCTTGTATTGGCATGAGAGAGACTTTTTACTGTAATTATTTCCTTTTGGCATATAAAGACCTTACGTGATAAGATATAAGTAACCTTAAGATTGCTGCAAGAAACTATGTACGCCAAGAACTTGAGAAGTGCAAATACAAGAGAACGAGGCCTCTCTGTGTAATTCTAAAGAATAACTTAAAAAATAACCAACAACTTTCAGCTCAGGTTTTCTTACTAGTCAGAACTGCTACATCATTACTTGACCACAGAACCTTGTGAGAGCACTCTTCCGGTGTGAGAAGTGCTTTTCTACATTGCATGAAGCAATTCTAAAGAATCCTCTTAAACATCATTCTTTTTTAAACTCTGAGCAGGCTGCCTCTCAAAGCTATCTTCACGGCTTGTACAGAACAATCTGTTGCTTTATAGCAAAGGTTCCTGGTTCCTGTGTCTACATAGGGATCATAGTGGCTCCTGGCAGAGCTGGGGAGTGAAAGAAAATCTGGCTTTGGAATTACAGAGGTTGGATATTGTGATACTCCTCTTGCTGACCTGTTGGAAACAGTTCAATTTGGTGTGAAGTATCCCGTTAAACCATATGGATTTTAACTTTCCAATTTGTGTTCCACTTTGCATATTTGTCTCTTCTCAGATAGTAAAAATACGTATTTTATGTATTCTTAAATAGAGCCTGGCTTGACTTCCTAAAACCAGAATGCATGTTTTTGAAGCAGTTTTATGTAGTCTGTCCAAGGCAATAGGGCTTGTTGAGTAAACGCTTGATTCCTGCTTTTCTTTTTTTCAAATTGCAGCAGACCTCTGCAGAGAGGAGCTGAACTTTGAAAAGACAAGGCACTGGGATTTGATCTGTGAATAGCAGTTAAATTCTTAGCAAGGAATACTTCTTAGCTGTACATCACTTTTTGTAGAGTCTTCCTAGGAATAAGAGCAGTTATAAAGATGAAGAACTGAGAAAACTCTTTTCATTACCAAATCCCCATAGAGCTGCAGGAAAAGCCCAGTTTTAATGCAGGTGCATTGACTCCTTATGAATTAAAGCTGCAGAATGATGGTTGGTATTGGTCTCATCCAGGCACATTTCTTTAGCTGTGACTGCTCTAAGGATCAAGCTGACGTCTGGGGATTTTTTTTTTTTTTTCCCCAAAAGATTGTGCTGCCATCATTCTGCTCCTAAATCTCTTAGTCAGACGCACAGATGAGAGTATAAAAACAATTTTTATAGAATCATTTATATATCCTCAGCCCAAGGTGCATGCCGTACTATTTTTGTTGTGTTCCAAGACAGCTTTTGAATATAAGACTGCCTCAATTAAGTTTTTTATGGATTTGAGAGACTATACCAGCTGCAGATGCTGGTGTATGTGCTGCAGATACTATGTAAGAGTGAAAACTCTTGTGCTTGGAACACGCCTCAGAGTAGCAACATTGCCTTAAGCAGAGTGCTCATATATGTGGTGTAAAGTAATGCACAGGTCCCTTGTATGGCATGACTTAAAGTAGATGTGTCATCTTCAGCCATTGCCACAATTAGTTTGACTGCCCTCTGGGGATGAAGTCTTGTAGCAAAGTTGAGCATGGTCTCCGTACTATGTTTTCTGAGTAATCCTCCATCCCGAATCTCTCTGTGGCCGTATTTTAACCCTGCAAATGAAATAACTTTTTCAGTAATTGGAAGAGGATCTGGTGTTTGCACATGGGTTCCTGTTTTCTCCATTCCCCCTGCATGCAGATAGGATGGATCCTGAGCCAAGATCCACCCAAAGCAAACTGATTTGAAGGCTGCAGCAATAGGAGGAGGTTTCACAAGGTTTCCATGTTGTTGTGTCCACATACAATTACATTCTAACTCTGTAGAATCAATGTATTTCTAATGTTTAAAGGTAGCTGAAGCACAGATAAATCTCGTATCCTTGCAGTCCCAAAACTGCAGCTACGGTTCAACTGAGTGTGCGCTTGCCATATATACCTGTGTGTATATGTGTCTCCTTCTGTGTTTGGAAAAAAAAAGACATTAATTTTCCTGGCTACACCTGTATATAAATCAATCAAGAGTGGCTTACATACACAAGAATCCTTGTGTAGTATCTTCTTCTGGGTTGCTGGTATAAGGGGTAAGTTAACAGTACGTGGGCCCAGTTACTTGTCAGAACTCCTCCACCTTGCAGATGAAACTTGAGCAATGTACTTACCAGCCAAATCTTGACAAATTTTCAACAGAAAAATGTGAACCTTCTTGGGGTTTGTCACAGAGGTGAAAACTGACCTATTTCGTCAGTCTCAAAATCTTTAAATTGCTGTTAAGATCATTCAACCCAGAAAACTGATATTGTACAGCATGACCCCATTTTTCAGGATATGTTCTCATTTGAGTTATGGAATACACTTCCTTACAGTTCAGCTGTTCTTGTTTTTAAGCCTTAAGATTTTGAGATGTGACTAATGCTGTATTTGCAAGAGTCTTTTGGATCACTTAGCATGGGATGCAGTATATCTTCTGACAAACAGGCGTGACTTGCACCAAATCTTTCTTTAGCTCATCACTTGAACTTTCAGCTGTTTCCCCCTCTTTCTTGTTGGAGGACTAGATTCTAGTTATTCAGTAGGCCCACTGAGCAGGAAGAATCCCAAGTATTTTGGGTAGTGCTTGGCTTGCTGTGTCCTCGTTAAATTCTGAATGGGTTGGATTGACTCCTACAGACACTTTCAGACCTGCTGGGTGAATCAACTTCCCTTCTTTGTTTTTGGTCTTGTGACGTTGTTTACCACAAGAGGCTGAAACTTAGTGAGATCTCTTAATAAGTCATCAGCTAATCGTGGTCTCACAGTAAGATGAAAAATTTTCTTATGTTTGGAGTCACAGTACAAAGAAGTCGGGTGTGCAGTTGTACAGTCAATTCATATGTGACTTGTGCTTAGTCTTGTGCTTAGATCTCAGCATTAGAGAACAGATATCAGGTTTATAGAACTTCTTTATTCCCAATTGGAGCTAGATTTTACTCACAGAACTTATCCTTGCATTTAAATTTTGTTTTTCAATATGAGTAAGGTTACTGACTCAATCTTTTTTGTTAATATTGGACAACACTCTCTGGACATCCATGCCTGAAAGTTGAGGGAACTTTTAAGTTTCTTTTTCTTTTTAAATTTTGCTTCTAACTTTCTAACTTTTTCATGTTATAAATGAAGCGGCATGCAGATAGCCTTGACTAAATACATTAAAATATTTTGGTAGACCATCCTTCTCAAGGACAGATCCCCACTGGTACTATAAATCAAGATAATTACATCTTACTCATGATGAACATGTTAACATCATCTCGGTTTTGTTCCTGAGTTTCATGCTTCTATAATATATGAATTGCATCTGAAGAAATAAATTGGAACTCTACAGAATATTTAAAAAAAACCCAAAAAACCAAAACCAAACAAAAATGCCAAAACAAACCCAAACAGCACAGCATGTGACAGAGTCAATTAGGAAATAAAAATAGGACCACCTGGTTGTTCAGGATCTTTCTTAAACTTACAAATTAAGTTTTAAACACTGTTTCTGGGAGATGACAGTGGGGAAACTTTCAGATGAAGATGTTATCTTTGCTGTAGGGTTGCTGAGTTTCTGTTTCACCACACACAGTTAGGAAGATTTATTGATACAGGCATATTCAAATCATGGTCCTAGATGACATAAACCATAAAATCCCTGTTTGGAATTGCAGTCATCCCACAAAAGTGACAAAGACAAAATACTTGTGTTTTAGTGTTGTTGTTTTATAGTACAGAAATCGCTAAAAAAAAAAAAAAAAGGAACCAAGATTCAGCAATATTAATTTTCTATCTTGCATGTACTTCTTAATAGTAATTTTTGTTAGCCCTTTGTAACTCCAAGGGATACATGAGCAGCTCTCTTCAGCCCAATAAATTGGGCTTCTTAACTGTTTCAATTTTTAAAACACATGCAAATAAATAAATGCTTCCCTCAAACAAAACATATTATGTGAGCAAAACGTAACTGTTAAAGGAGGAATACCTGTCCTGCTGTTGTTGTCAGCTAGAATATGTAACCTGTTTTTTCACGAGTGTGGATTGCTAAACTATGTCAAAACTATTATCTTAGGAGTTAAGGTTATTTTAATCCTTTGTTCTTAAAAAAAAAAAAAAATTTGGATTTTTTTTTTATGAGTTGGTATGAAAGATACAATATGGTTTGGGGAGTTTTTAGTTGGGCTTTCTGAGCACATGTGGCAGCATTTAAATGTGTAAATACAGTTGCTCATTTTTGCATTTTCCTGTGGCCAGAGGGATATTTAAGGTCATGGAATGGAAATGAGTACTAATTCTTTGTTCCTCTGAGGATTTTTGTTAATATCTGTCTTGTTGAGTTTTAAGTTACATGTTTTGCTTTTGCTCTTTAACAAAGCTAATCGATCAATTCTTGTATCTTCACAGCTTTTCCATGGTTTGGCATGGACATTGGGGGAACTTTGGTGAAACTGGCATATTTTGAACCTATTGATATCACTGCAGAGGAGGAGCAGGAGGAAGTTGAAAGCTTGAAGAGCATCCGCAAATACCTGACTTCCAATGTAGCCTATGGATCCACTGGCATTCGAGATGTCCACCTTGAGCTGAAAGACTTAACGATTTTTACTCGAAGAGGAAACTTGCACTTTATTCGATTCCCAACTCATGATTTGCCTACTTTTATCCAAATGGGAAGAAATAAAAACTTTTCAACACTACATACGGTGCTCTGTGCCACTGGTGGTGGCGCTTACAAGTTTGAAGAAGACTTTCGCACAGTAGGTAGCCTATCTTTCCTCATACTGAAGCTGATGCTAAAAGCATTGCTGATGATGGGTTAAAATAAGCAGTACTTTGAAAAACTGTGGAATGCTCAAAGATTATTAATTAGTAATTTCTTTTTCAGTCTTAAGTATGATAATCTAGAAATATGCTTTGTGACATCATCATAATAAACATGAAGATCTAATGCTAGCAGCTAATTAGAAACTGCTGTTAATGTAGTCAGTTGCAGGATGCCTTTATGGGAGTTAACCATTTTCTAATCTGTTTTCCCTGATGGGAAATGTGCTTAAACTGCTGAGGTGCTTGTCTCAATTTGGATTTTCTTTCCTAAGCATTCTTTGATGATAGGTTTTTGATGTTTGCAGGTGGGGTTATCCTCATTAATTTAGTTCAGTGCATTGTTTAGAGATCTATGACAAAACAGGTATCTCAGTCTTTTTTTCAACTGCAGAGCGGTCTGGGATTTTCCTGAGGTGTTCTGACTCTGATGATCAAAATTGAGCACTTATTTAGACACGGTTTCTATCCAAAGATAGTTGTTACTAACTGAGAATCTTATCACAGTATCCAGTGTGCACATGTCCTAGTTCTTAAGTGCCTACAGACCTCTTGTGCTTCTAGAGACAAGGAGATTTTGAATAGCACAAAATGTTTGGTTTCAAAACTCTGGCACTGGAATGGAAAGACAAGCAGTCTTGCGTTGAGCTGGTACAACTGTTTGTGGGGTAGGATCACAATTTGTACAGCAGAACTAATTCATTATTTAAAACCCCACAGAACTATTTTCTGTTGGAACAGTTCCCTGATCTGCTCAACACTGAAGCTTCACAGCTGTGCCATGGCAAGAAAAGCTGAAGGGACCTGGGGGAAGAAGAGGGGGCTGGCAGTGCTGTGATCTGGTACTGATGTCAGTCAGCAGTGTGCAATCTGGTCTGATTGTGCAACTTTGTAATCTGACTGCAGGCTGCTTTCTAAATGTGGTCTCACCTGATCTGGAGATAGACTTTGAGTGCTTTTTCTTGGATTAGCTGCCTAATTGGACACTCTGACTGTTGGAACTCCCTGCCACAGTAAGGGAGAGATCGTGATCACACTTTTTGTGAAAGCCCAGAGTTAAATTAGATTAAGTATGGTGTGAAATTACAGTCTTCTGGAATCCACAGCATCCCTACAATTGTCTTTGTGCTTTATGAGAGAATGGCAGCTTAAATGTCATGTGCAAAATTGAGGAAGAATTGTAAGAAGCCTAAAGTCCCATAGAATTTCCATGCTGTGGTTTTGTTTTGATCCTTGGAATGTTAATAAAGTTGCAAGGATATAGTGTACCATGACACTGAGGTTTTTATCTAAGGTTTTTATCTGCTGACATCTTAGAAATGACTGCTTGACTACTTAGATGGGGAAGGAAACCCACAAACCTTGAAAAGATGTGCAGATGTGTGAGTTTCACCACAATGACGCTTGATGGGGCCTTGAGTGTATTTGGTGACCTTTTTTGATTTAGATTGATGAAAAATGTTGCTGAATTTCAGTGGATTAATGTCTTAGTACCTCAGAAGTTATCTTTGGGCTTACCAAAGCAGATGTTTATACTGCCTGTCCTTGATTCAAGTCTGAGGTCTAGATTTATAGTCAGACTAATTTGCTAATTGACTTAGTCAGAATTTACCTCTGAATTTTTTGTTGGCTCTATAGTGGGATTGAAGTACCTGAATTAGTCACCTGAGATACCTTCTTAAAGTTAGGCAGTACAAATATACTCATAAATTTGTAGCATATTTAAGCGGTGTTAGAACATGTTGACACTGTCTTTTTTTTCTTTTTTTAACACAGATTGGAAACCTCCAGCTGCACAAACTGGATGAGCTTGACTGCCTTGTCAAAGGCTTATTGTATATAGACTCTGTCAGCTTCAATGGCCAGGCAGAGTGCTATTATTTTGAAAATGCCTCAGATCCTGAGAGATGCCAAAAGATGCCTTTTAACCTGGATGATCCATATCCATTGCTGGTTGTTAACATTGGTTCAGGAGTCAGTATTTTATCAGTCCATTCCAAAGACAACTATAAAAGAGTAACTGGAACAAGGTAACTGAAAAACCTAAGTTGCCTTTCCCTCACTCTGTAGTATGGAAAAGTATTTAATCTTTAATTTACAGCTGCATTTGTTGAAGCCCGTATCCATAGCTCTGTTATTGAGGAGATTTAGCCAGTAACTTCTTTGTCAATCAATGAGTCCTAGAAGTGCTCCGTGGTGAGTTTTATAGGTTTTGTCTTAAATTTTGATGATGTGTTCAGTGAACTTGTATTTCTCTTGTTCCATAAGAATAAATACAGCTACACATTTTACAGAAAATGATCAAGGATCAGAGTCGGTAGCATGGTGTGGGTAGTTAGGGGGTTCTAGACTGATTAAGTGTTCCATATTGCGTTTTGAGAGTTGTAACTCTTTGTTAGCTCTTACTGTGTAGTTATCTTCTTGTAAGTGACTTATATAAATGTTAACTTGATTGACAGCTGTTTGTGTAGTGAACCTTGAGCAAGAAAGCAGACAGCTTGGTATCTAAGTTGGAGGGCTTTATTTGTTTATTTTGTTAGTCAAACATAAGAATCTTTCATGTGAGGAAATACTATTGGAAAGCAACTAGTTTTCTTTCTTCTTAGTCTAGGTGGAGGGACCTTTCTTGGTTTATGCAGTTTGTTGACGGGCTGTGAAAGTTTTGAAGAAGCTCTGGAAATGGCATCCAAAGGAGATAGTACACATGCTGACAAGTTGGTTCGTGATATTTATGGAGGAGACTATGAAAGATTTGGCTTGCCAGGATGGGCTGTAGCATCCAGGTAAGCAAGAGATCTTTTTGTTGGTTCTTTTGCTGGTTTGGGGGGCTTCAAAAACAAGACTTAAACTATTAATACAAAGAAGATTGCTTTTTGCAAACTTATATTGTAGTCAAGTTACGTTTCATCCTAAAAGTATATATATACTCAGCTTTCCTGAAGACTTAAAGCCACATGCAGCTGCACGTGTCTGCTAGCTAGGTATGTCATGTGGTATGTCGTACACAGCTTTATGTGAGTCAGAGAGAATGTGAGGTGATGATAGGAGTGGCAAGAACAAAGTGCAGAGGAAAAACAAAGCAGATTACTGTTTGACTTCTAGAGTCTTAGTAGGGCTGTTGTCCAGAGGGAATGTGAGTAGAAGGCATTTTTGTTGCTCTTACAGTAGTATCTCTTCATTTTTTTTAATGACTGCTTTTTTTTTTTTTGATACATGGGTGTCAGTACAGGTACCTGGCATAATGTTTTAACTACTTTTCTCACCTCTGAAAGCTGTTGAACGTAAACAGTTTGCACCATGAGAATGAATGTACTTCACTGCCAATTACAGAGGATTTTTGTCATAGCTCCAAGTTTTACTTTCACTGGAGAAGATTATTGGTGATGTTACAGCTTCTCTACCCTTAGGAAATGTAAGGAGGGTAAACTTTAGGAGTGAAACTAACATGTACATAAGAGAGCTTGTTGAATCTTTCCTCTTACTCAGTAGTAAGAGGCCTTAGTTCACAGTAACTTGATTCTTCTCCAGCCAGCTCGAGTCCAAGCCTCTTCAGAGAGCATATGCTGAGAGGTTTTACTATGTGCAAACTTTACACTTTTAGTCAATACATCTTAACTCGCTCTCTATATGGGTACTTTTTGTTCTCATTTACTTTTTAAGACCCTTAGGATCTTTAGTGACTATTTGAGTTTTAGAATAATCAGGATTTTGGCTCTCTGAACTGACTTAGCTGTGGCACAGAGTTCTTAGTAGTAAAATGTCATGCATAGCTGTGAATACTTGTCTTGTTTTTTTTCTTAAGATATCTACTGTGTATAGTAATGGAGATGTCCTTCTAATCTAGAAGTCTTCATTTATACAACCTGAATAGCAGTCTGTCAGGTGTTTATTTTCTGTTTGAGGGTTGTGTCCCATCATAAAATCATTCAACTTATCTCTGGTTTACTTCTACTTTGACAGTAGAGGATTAGATAGATACTGGGGAGTGAGGAAGCAAGCAGGAGGAGTTGGAAGATTCACCAGACATAGGCATTGACTTAATTTACAGTGACCAGGTTTGCAGAGTAGTCTTGCCTAAGAATAAGACTACTTTTTGCTGTAGATGCTTCTTCATGGAAGTCACCAGTCTAAACAAAAATATTTTGTTGGGGATCATTATTGTAACAAGATTGACTGTTTGCTGTGAAGGAATAGATACACACATCATGCTATCAGTTGTCAAACTGGTGTATTTAATACAAACTTAAAAAGGAAGCTCCTTAAGAACGAACATGAGACCTAAGTTCTCTTATACCCTAAAAACTACATTCTGAAATTACTTCGAATGCACATGAATCACATTGTACTTAATGGAAATTTTTCCTGTTCTAGTTTTGGGAATATGATCTACAAAGAGAAGAGAGAGTCTGTTAGTAAAGAAGATCTTGCAAGAGCCATATTGGTCACCATCACCAATAACATTGGGTCTATTGCCCGGATGTGTGCAGTAAATGAGGTAAAAACTTCTGACAAGGAAATGATCTAGAGGTCTATTATTTGGTTTCACATTAAATGACTGCTGAAATGATGTACCATTTTAAACCTTTTAGTATGTTCTCAAATGAAATGAAGAAACTCACATAGTATTAAAGAACTAGGAATTGGTTCAAAATATTTTGACTGTCTTTGGAGACGGTGGGCAAAGATATCTTTGCCAGTGGGGAGGGTAGCCTGATAAGGAGGGCTTCAAACTAGGTTTGTTAGGGAATGGAGCCCAAAGCCTGCAGATAAGTCAGGGGGCAGGGGAGCAGAGGATGTTGTGAGGAAAGGACTTGAAGTCCCCTTGTGAAAACAGGATGATTGTGGGCCCAACTTAAGTCTCTGTACCCAAAACACATGCAGCATGAGATACCAGAGGACCTGTAAGTCCTGGTTCTCATGAGGGACTATCCCAGCCTCCATTGGAAGGGTAACATGGCAGATCACAAGCAATCCATACTTCTCAGTGTTCTGGGGACAATTTTCTGACACAAATGCTAGACAGGCTGAGTAGGCAAGCATGCTGCTGGACCTGGTATTCATGAGTGAAGAACTGGTCATGGATTTCAGTGACAGCTTTGAAATGGTAGAGTTTAAGGTTCTGAGGAAAGTGAAGAAGGCAGGTAGCAGAATGGAGACTCTAGTTGGACTTGAGTAGAAAAGTATTCTGGTTTGGGGGGATTTAGGAATCAAGCTCTTGTGGGAGGTTGTCCTAATGGCATAAGGAGCCCAGAGGAGTTCTTTGATCTTTCAAGATAACATCCTCACAGCAAAAGCAAAAGGTGGGATACAGACTGGCTAGGGAGAAGCATTACAGAAAAGAGGAGGGTGCTGGCAAACAAGTTGAACTGAACATGAATCAGCAGTGTACATGTGCAGCGGTGAAGGCTGACCTTGCACTGAGATGCATTAGCAAGGACATAGCCAGGAGGTGATACTTTGGGCATGACCTCTTTCCCCCTCCTCCCCACCACCAAAAGTGAAACACTGATGAACTAGAACAAGTCAAACAGGTTACCAAGACAGAGCTCTGCCATGGAGCACCTGATAAATGAGGAGACACTTGAGGGGTCTGGGTTAGGCCTGAAGAAGTAGTTGAAGCCTGAAATGGTTGTCACTATCTAGAGAGGGTTACAGGGAAGACACTGCTATATATGGCCATGCACAGCAGAAGAACAAGAAGCAATGGATACAACTTGTAGCAAAGAGACTGATTGGTGTAAGGGAAAAAAGATGCTCACAATAAGAGTGGTTAAGCCCTGATACATGAACTTAGAGACTGTGGACTCTGTGTCCTTGGAGATTTCAAAACATGTGGCTTGAGGAACTTAAATGTTGAAGTTGCTGAAAGACCCACTTTGGAGCAGTGCATAGGACCTGATGGCCTCCAGCAGTTTCTTCAAGCTGTAATGATTCTCTGATTAAAGCTCATAGAAAGCCTTGCTTTTCTAGTTAAGCATTATTTTTAATTTTTACCAACTCTTGAGACTTCAAATTGTTTTGACACTTGTGGTCTTACTGCTTGATACAGAGACAATTTTCTGCCATCATCTGTTTCTCAAAGCTCTGCTAAACAGAACCAGTATGCATTCAGTTTTAATATGATTAGCATAGACAGTTAAGAATCTATGGAAGAATACTGAATTTAGGCATAGAAGATACAGGTGTCTGAGCACTAGGGATTTCCTCATTCATTGTCAACAAACTGGATAAAGTGAGGTTCAGTAGCAGCTTTCTTAGAGAAGTCTAAGGGTAACTGTATTTAGAGCTTTGCTTAAAATCTATGGATGTGATAGTCTCAAATAACAACAACGTTGCTGGTTGCAGCAACCCTCCTTTTGCTTAGGAACCAGACTAATATATTTTTCTGGTTTTAGTATTGCAAGTTCTCCCTCAGTTTTCTTCTGTGTCTTTCTCTCATGTCTGTCTTGGAGAAGAAAGTTAATTTTGTGGGTATTGAATTAATTTTGACTTTCTTGCTTTATGGGAAAGCTTGGTAAAAAAAGAGGTAAAATGAGGGTGAAGCTTGAAGTACATACTAGTAGTCTGAGTCAAACATATGCAATTTATATTTAAGGGTGGGGGGGTAAGTGAATACAAATCAAAAATTATAAACAGCACAAATTAGCTTTATTCCAAGGGGTTTTGGTCTAATTCCAACTATGTCACAGAACTACAAATCATAAGAAATGGTTAATAGGGATCCACAAACTAGTATCTTGAACTAATGTAGGAAGAGAAAATGGAATTGATTATTTTGGCTTCCTGCTATAGAACAGAATTATGTTTGGGTGCCTTAAGAGTGTGTTTATTTTGTCTTCACTGTGAACTAATCAAGATGGGGAAAACCAGTTGCATGTTAGTCATTTGAATACAGGTTGAATTGTCATACTAGTTTTTGTAGCAGCTTGGATATGTATGTTCATCTAACATAATTAAACGCTTATTGAAGCACTGTGTTAAGCACTAACACAATTAAATTTTCTTTGGTTCTTGCTCTTATATCATTAGACTAGTGTTTAATGTTGCTTCCACTTAATGTTGGATTTATTTCAGTGAATGGGGAAAATTAAACACTTTTCGCTTTTTTTACATTTGACTTGATTAATATTCACAGCTCACTTCTAGTATTTAAGTCTTAGTCTAATCTTATACTGAGGTGTATTGAGTTCTGAAGATGAAAGGAGCATCTGTTACGTCTTACTGTCTTCGGCTTCTTTACAGTGCTGCCTTGTTGCATATGGATCAAGCAGCATTGTACAGGGCTATGAAGGCATTGAGTCTTCTCTACCAAATAGAAGTATTTTTCATTTAATTTCACTTTTAACTGGGCTGTTTCTTTGGCTTAGTTACTGAAAATGCTCACTTAATTTGAAATACAAATGCTACTTCTCTGTAAATTAAGTCCTTTAATTCTTGAGAGTTGCGTGGTTCTTCCTTTTGCCCAGGTATGCTGCGTTTTAAATTTTGGAACCATGTTTTAATTGTGGGTTGGTTTTTTTTCTTGCTCAAGACAGTCTGTTCTTTCATAGGTTGACTTTTCAAAGCTGTGTGGAACAGTGAAAAGACTTAATCCTTTGCTGTTTTTCTCTTCTTTTTAGAAAATAAACAGAGTTGTGTTTGTTGGTAATTTTTTACGTGTGAATACTTTGTCAATGAAGCTTCTTGCATATGCACTGGATTACTGGTCAAAAGGCCAGCTGAAGGCTTTGTTCCTAGAACATGAGGTAAGCTGCAGTTCATTTATCTGTATGTATTTTTTTACCATAAATCAGAAATGCATTTATTGAGTAGCTCTCGTGTGTAATATCCTGAGACACCAAATACTCAGTAAATGTTGAAAATAAAAGGAGGTTCGTCATAGAATCATAGAATGGTTTGGGTTGG